GCTGAACCCGCCCGCGTCCAATCGCGAAGTAGCTTCGCCAGACGTCGAACATTCGCCGCCACGAGCGGGTTTCCACGGCGAGCCCGCCCCACCCACTTGGGAGTTGCGTCCGGCAACGACGGGCGGTTCCTGGGCCCCGGGCGCAGAACGCAGCCGATATTGCTAGAAACGGCGGACGACGACGACGACGACCACGGCGACGTCGTCGACGACGATGATCACCGCGACGACGGCGACGACGACGACGACGACAACGACGACGACGACGACGACGGCGACGACGACGACGGCAAACGCGGCTACTGTCTAGCTCTCGCTACTCCGCCGAGACGTCGTCAGCGTCCTCACTCGTCTCCTCTTTCTAACCCCTCTGCTCCTCCTCGACCCCCTCCTTCTCTTCGCATCTTCTGGTTTGCCCCCTCGCGCCCCCCCCCGACCTTCCCAGGGAGGCCGCGACTGACCGCGGCAGCCGTCCGGGCGACATCTAATGCATCAGGGATCGCGCGGCCCCCATTCCATCTGCCCGAGCGGCAGAGGTTGCCGACGCCATGTGGCAATTGCCGCCAGAACGGTTGGAGCGCACCCAAACAGGTTTGACATCCACGCAGCCCGGGAAACAGTCATAACAAAATTAGCAGGACGATCATCTTGAATGAACTGCGGGCGGCAACGGCCAAAGAGGATCATTACAGGCAGTCGGGTAAGTTGGCGCGAAATTTGGGAATCGGCCCGAAGCTCGCTCGGGCTCGCTTGCGTCCAGACACACGCACATTCAGAATCGCTCGTCCAAGATCACTCGCGCCCACGCCCGCGCGTGCCCGGGCCCAGTCATGCCCCAACCCCATTCGCGCCCAGACGTAACCGGTCTCGCCCTGCGCAGGGGCTTACTCGCACGGAGCCACTCAGACTCCCTCCGCCCCGCGCAGGGGCTCACTCGCGCCGAGTCACTCGGACTCCCGCTCGGATGACACCCGCCGAGGGCACGCGACAGCCGCCCCCCAAGGACCTTCAACAACTCGGGGGGCTGCGGCCTCGTCTGGGACCCCGACCGCCCGTCTTGCCGCTTGGGCCGTGGCGTCGGCGATCCCGAGTTGCTGAAGTCCCAGGGAGGGGTCTTCGCGCGCCCTCGGCAGATGTCTACTGGCAAAAAACAAAACGCAACATTAAAAAATCGAGCAGGGGAGAAAGCGCGCGGGCGCGCTTTCTTTGGGGCAGCGACGTGCCGGATGTGCCGAAAACGGTCCCACAAATCGTGCCAACCACATCGGACTGTCTGTAAATGAGATTCGCCTTTCAGCGTTGGCAGCGTGCCCAGGCGTGCACCATGGGCCAGGTCATTGATGTGCCGTGCTTTGGCTTGCCCGCCCGGTGGCAACGCTGGGGGCCGGATGCCACGTAATGCCCAGAAGTTCTTCCAAGCTGCTCCTGCACAGGGCCGCTGGCGTGGGCGGTTCCACGTTCTGCCCGGCGGTTTCGTTCCCACGCTCGAATGGCCAACCTGCGCCGCGCAGTGCAGACGAGACGCTGTTCCGCAACATTGACAAGCGGATGTCACTTGATGCGACGCGCCCCGCCTGGTCTGATTCAGCATCGTTTCGGTTTCCATCCATGTGCAACTGTTGTCAACCACTTTTTCACGGGGATGGGAAATTCTGCCGAAGTATGGGGTCATCGCGCGATCCCCTCTCGTCTTTTAGCGTGCCGCCCTGTGGGTCTTGTGGGACGCGTGAGACTCGCGCCCCTGTGGGACTTGTGCGACTTGTGGAACCTGCGAGACATGCGGGACCTGAGCGACTAGCGGGGTCGGTGGGTCTTGCGGGACCTATGCGAACTGTGCGACCTGCGAGAAGTGAGGGAGCCGCGGGGTTTGTAAGACCTACGGGACCTGTGCGAAGCGCCGGCCTTGTTCGGACCCGCGACACCTGCGGGCTTTGCGAGGCCTGTCGGGCTCGTGGGGCCTGTGCGACCTGCGGGGCCTGTGCGACCTGTGGGACTTGCAAGACCCGTGGGACCTGCGAGACCTGCGGGGCCGATGAAAACTGTGCGACCTGCGAGGCCCGTGGGACCTGTGGGACTGACGAGACCGGCGGTACCTTTTGGGCGTTGCCCAACAAGCCGCGTTCACGATCCGGCGGGGGGCGGGCTCTGTCATGTAAATTCACACACGGGATGCAATCTAGGTCGCCCGGCAATCCCAGGTAACGATCGGGCGGGCGCGGGTTTAGTGTGTAAATTCACTCGCAGAACGCACTTCGCGTAAAGAAGCGCGCCTTGGCGCGCCCACTCTGCGATGTGTTTTTTGTCGCGCGCTTCGCGCGTGAAAAAATAAGACGTGCACGTCGATTTTGCTCATGCACGAAACGCGGACAAAACCAGATCGTGAAGTGGGCGCGTCGGGGCGCGTCACTGTACGCGAAGTGCGTCCCGCGTGCGATTGTACACACTAAACCTGCCACCGCCCGATCGTTAAGCGGGGCCCCTGGGCGACGGGAAACGCGTCCCGTATAAGAATTTACACGCGGGGCCCGCACGCGTCCAATCGTCAAATAGTTTCGCCAGGCATCGACAATGTGCCGCCAGGAGCGGATGTCCACAATGAGGCCGCCCCCACCCAATGGGGAACTTCGCCCCGCAACCACGGGCGGGCCTTGGGCCCCAGGCGCAGAACGCAGACGGTATTCCCAGGAGCGGCGGACGACGACGACAACGACGACGACCGCGGCGACGTCGTCCACGACGATGACGACCACGACGAGCGGCGACGACGACGACGACGGCGACGACGACGACGACCAAGGCAACCGCGACGAAAACAACATGCTTCTCGCCACATCGCAGGCTACTGCCTAGTTCTCGCTACTCCGCCGAGACACCGTCAGCGTCCTCACTCGCCTCCTCCTTCTAATCATCCTGCTCCCCCCCTCGATTCCCTCCTTCTTCGCATCTCCCGGTCTTGTTCCCGCGCGTTCCCCCCCCCGACCTTCCCAGGGAAGCCACGACTGACCACGGCAGCCGTCCGGGCAAAATTTCTTATCAGGGATCGCGCGGAACCCATTCTATCGTCCCGAGCGGCAGAGGTAGCCGATGCTATAAGGCACTTGCCGACAGAACTTTTGGAGCACGCCCAAACAGGTTTGACATCCACACAGCCGGGGAAAGAGTTATAACAAAATCAACAATACGATCATCTTGAATGCTCCGCGGGCGGCAACCGCAAAAAGAGGATCATTCAGTGAGATTCGTCTGTCTATGTGGCAGAGTGCGCAGGCGTGTACCATGGGCCAAGGTAGTGATATGCCATGCTTTGGCATGCGCGCCCGGTGGTAACATTGGGAGGCGGATGCCACTTAATGCCCGGATGTTCTTCCAAGCTACTCCTTCACAGGGCCGCTGGCGTGGGCGGTTCCACGTTCTGCCCAGCGGTTTCGTTTCCAGTCGGATGGTTAACATGCGCCGCACAACGCAAACGAAACGTTATTCCGTAACATTGACAGGCGGATGGCACTTGATGGGACGCGCCCCACCTGATCTCGTTCAACCTAGTTTCGGTTTCCATCCCTGTACCACTTTTGTTAAACAGTTTTTTCACCGGGATGTACGGCTATAGCAAAGGTGTCCCCATCCCTATTAGGACGATGGCAGAGCTTCAATCCCTCAACGGACTGTATTACAAGGTGCAACATCACCAGTGGGATGTTATTCGCTGTGGCTCCATCCCCAATTCGACACTAGAGGTTGCCCAATCACCTACAGGATCCAATCAGACGTGGATCCATCCCTCAAGTAGCCCCATTATTGATATATGTGTGTTCGAAGTCGCTCCATATCTAATCTGATTATAGTAGAGATTCATCGGATCCAAATTTCAAATAATGTTGCTGAGCTGGGTGATTCCCTGATCGGACTCTATTAAAAAAGTGGCCCCATCCATGTTAGGATTCCCAGAGGGAAAAGGGAAAGCGAGAGAGAGAGAGAGAAAGAGAAACAGAGAGAGAGAGAAATACATTAATTAAAAAGATAAGGAGAAAGAGAAAGAGAGAGAGAGAGAGAGAGAGAGCGACAGAGAGAGAGAGAGAGGGAGAGCTCCCAACCCCCTGGATCGCGCACGTGATCACCGCGTTCGGTAAGTGCGCGCGTGTTGGCACTAGGTGTAGGGGAGCCCGACTTGCTCCGACCTGCGACGAGTCGGCAGCTCGTGGCGGCCATGCTAGCAAAAAAGGCCGAAGCCCGTGACCCAGCCTGGTAGGGACAAAAACAAGCCTCTGCTGGCCGCACCTGGCCGCCTGCGCAGTGCCAGGCCACGGCGCAGATTAGCCTGGGCCTACCTCCAGGGTTGGTTGGAGAGAACACGCGAGAGGACACGAGACCATTCCGAGGGCCACACGGCCATATGAAGGCAGAAGGCACAGGTCGCGAATCACAGGATACAAGGGCACCCTTGGTCTGGCAGGGTCGGCCTACCAGCCAACCGCGACTGCATCCTGCCCCAACGCCGCCCCTGACCTGAGGGGCAACGATAGTGAGGGACTGACAGAAGGGTGGGGCGCATCACTCTGGAATCGGCGCCGCATCGCCGATAGATCGGCGACAGGCTCCCGATCATGAGTCCGCACGTTGCTGGGCAGGCTGAGGCGATCGGGCCCCTATCGGCGATCAACGGGCGATCGGGGGTCGATGCGTTCACCCCCTGTGCCTATCCCCCCCCCTCGTTGCCCCTGATTCCCAAGCCCCCGACGTCGTAAGGCGACCCCTACAAGTCTGGACGCCTTCCCGGGGACCAGCCTTCCATCCCGAGTCGTTTTTTGGCCTGCCCTGGGGCCCGGTGGAGGTCCCTTGAGGCCGAAGACTGCGCAAAACCTCCCGCCTCGAGGGGGAGGAGGAGGAGGAGGAGGAGGAGGAGGAGGAGGAGGAGGAGGAGGAGGAGGAGGAGGAGGAGGAAGAGAAGGAGGAGGAGGAGGAGGAGGAGGAAGAGGAGGAAGGCTGGGTTGCCCAGGCCCCTCCTCCTGGATCGCGCGCGTCATCTTCTGGTCGTCCAGCGCCTCCCGCCGCGCCCGCGGCGCCTGGGCCGCCAGGCCCTCCTGCCAGAGCCCCTCGGGGGCGCCTGGCGCGGCCGGCGCGGCGGTCTCTCGGTGCGCGGCAGACTCCTCCCTCCTCCTCCTCCTCCTCCCTCCTCCTCCTCCCTCCTCCCCCTCCTCCTCCTCCTCCTCCCCCTCCTTCTCCTCCCCCGCCTCCTCCGCCTCCTCCTCCCCCTGCGCGGTCTCTCGGCGCGCGGTGGCAGTCCTCACTTTGTGAAAAAATTGCCACGGGAAGTCTGTCGTTATTTTCAACCTGTGGGGGCCCGTACCCGGCCTCGGGGCCGTCAAACAACGACTGGGATGAAAAGCCGGTCCCCGGGAAGAGGTCCAGACCACTGGGGGTCGACGCTGTGAACAAGATGAAGACGTCGGAGGTCTGGGGAGGGGGCGTGTGCTTCACGCAGCGCTGCGCGATGGACGTCGACGACGTTGACGAGGCCTACAACTGCGGCCTCACACAGTACGTGCTTCTGCACGACGAGTGCAATCGTCGTCGTCGTCGTCGTCGTGAGCCGCCGCGGCCTACCGCCGTGGTGCCTCCTCCTCCTCCTCCTCCTGCTCCTCCTGCTCCTTGTAAATAGCTTCTCCCTGTCGTACCATGGGGCCAGTTTTCGAGGCGGGCTGGGCCTTTTCACCTGGGACTTCCTTACCACTTCTGACTCTGAAGCTTAATATGGGGCAGCAGTTTCACACATGGACTGCGGTTCGTTTTCAAAGTGTGGCTCTCGCCTTATCGCCGCGCACATTTGTGCATAACATGTGCAAGATGGTTTTCAAACTGTGGTTCTCGCCTTAGCGCCGCGCACATTCGTTCATAGCATTTGCAAGAGTATCAAGGATTCCCATGATCAGCGTAACAGACATGGTGTTTTGAAGGGATTCAGGCTTATGAGGGTGCAACAGTTACGTTTGGTCGCGGTCTTGAAGTCCCAAGAATGGCGTTGTGGCGCGATTCAGGATCGCTAAGACGCAACAGTCAGGTTTACTCGTGGCGTTGGAATCCCGAGAACAACGTTTTGGCATGCTTGTGGGTATTCAAACGGTTGTCTTCCAACGAAGCAATTCCCTCAACGGAAATGAACCGTTGTAGGGGCCTATGAAGAGGGAGCTTGGAGGGAGGGTTTATCCCAACATCGTTGAAAACTCTTGTGTTTACTCGGGGGCGCGCAAACATGCATTAGCGATCCATGGATTTGGCGCGCGGTCGCCAAATCCATTGATCGGGGGAGGTGCCCTTCCCAAAATGCGGCTGGTGCCGCCTCGCTCGGCGGCGGAAATCTGCGATTTCCTATGGGAACGGGACCCGTCACTAATCCACGCCCCCTTGATCCATGTTTGCGATCGCCTGATTTACACTGGTCCGCCTCCTCCTCCTCCTCCTCTCCCTCCTCCCCCCCTCTGTGCAAGACCGGCTTGGCCCTGGCTGGGCCCGAAGATGCCGCAAGAAAACACGCGGAGGGGCGAGTTGAGAGCGAGAGATACCTTGAAGAAGAAAAGAGCAACGTGCGGTTTAGACCGACGAGTGGGCGCACAGCCATCGTGCGGCCCCGAGGAAAGCTGGCTGCTCCGCCTGCTCCGCCCCAACACCCGCTGGCTCTCGCCAGCCAGGCCACACTTCTGCAGGCCTTCCGCCACGGGCGTGGATTCAATCCTTCGGCTCCTCGAGGACAGCGCCTTCGCCTTTCGGCCCGAAGGCGTCGTCGTCCTGTTCCCAGTTTGGAAGACACAAGAGGTCCCTGCAGGTCCCGAAGTCTCCAGAGAGGCGTTTGGAGGCCACCCGAGGTATCCAGAGATTGGAGGCCTTCGGATGCCTCTCGGGGCCAGAAGTTACCCGGTGAGTATGGCTGATTACAAAACACGGTGCGCCGTTGGTCGTGCGAACCAAATGGGAAGCGCACGCGTTGCGCGACTCACGAGACAACAACAAAAGGACGAGAACTAAGGCCCCAGGCTCGAAGATGGAACTGTGGTGGGATCGAGGGGCAGGAAAAGAACGGAAGAAGGCCGAACGGTTACCACGACAGCACCAGTGAGACGGTGGAGAACGGAAGAGGGCGAAGACGAAAGAGGCAGGATGAGGAAGGAGGGTGGCCCCCTCCAACTTCTGGTGGTGGTGGTGGAAGACAGGCCCATCGTAAAAGCAAGACTCATCTGAGCCCGCGTAGACGTCACTGTGCTGGACCCCCCCCCAGCAGCCCTCTAAAGTGGCGACGGGCTCGCAGTCCGAAGCCCCCCAGGGACGATGGGGTCGAATCTCAGTCCGCGTAAGCCGTCACGGTGCCGGGTAACCCAGCAGCTCTCGAAAGTGGCGACTGTTTCGAAATTCGCATCCCCACGGATGGTGAAGTCAAATCTCAGTCTGTGTAGGACGTCACCCAGGTGGGCCACCCAGCAGCCCTCGAAAGTGGCGACGATTTCGCAGTTCGAAACCCCTAAACTGAAAACCCCAGCAACCCTCCAACATGGTAAGAATTTCGCAGTTCGCAGCCGCCCAAGGATGGTGAGATCGAATCTGGGTCCGCGTAGGACGCCGCTGCGCTGGAACCCCCAGCAGCCCTCTAGAGTGACGACAGGCTTGCAGCTCGCAGTCCCCAAGGGATGGCGAGGTCGAAACTGAATCTGCAAATAGCGTCAGTCAGCTGGACCCCCAGCAACCCTCAAACGTGGTGTCCTTTTCGCAGTTCGCAGCTCAACAAGGACGGCGACGTCGAATCTGAACCCGCGTAGCGACGTCACTCCGCTGGACCTTCCTTCCGGCCCTCGAAGGTGGCGACGATCTCGCAGTCCGCATCCCCCAAAAGCATGGCGAGGTCTGGTGCGAGTCCGTGCGTAACGTCGCTCCGCTGGACCTCAAGAGTCCCCCAAAGTGGCGACGTTGTTGCAGCTCGCAGCCCTAAACGATTGTGAGGCTGAATCCGAATCTGCACATGACGTCACTCCGCTGGAACCCAACAGCCCTCAAAGGGGCGACAGTTTCGGAATTCGCGGACCGACAGGGATGGCGAGGTTTAATCTGAACCCGCGTGAGACGTCACTCCGCTGGACCTTCCCATTAGCCCTCGAAAGTGGCGACGATCTCGCAGTTCGCATCCCCCGAAAAGCATGGTGAGGTCGAATGTGAGTCCACTCCGCTGGCCCACCCCAGCAGCTCGAAAATGGCGACGATCTCGCAGGTCGCAGCCCCCGCGGAATGGCGAGGTCGATTCTGAATCTGCGTATGACGTCGCTCTGCGGAATCCCCAAACAGCCCTGCAAAACTTGCGACAAGTTCGCAGTTCACAGCCCCCCAAGGATGGTGAGGTCGAATATGAACCTGCGAATTACGACGTCACTCCGCGCCCCCCACACCCCCAGCAGCTTCGAAACTGACGACAGTTTCGCAATTCGACACTCCCCCAAGGATGGCGAGCGCTAGTATCATGAGCCCGCGTAAGGCGTTCTTCCGCTGGAGCCCCCAGCAGCCCTCCAAGGCGACGACGAGTTCGCAAATCGCAGGCCTGGAAGCCGTTTGTTTGCGGCACCTTGAAGTGCGGGAGCAACAAGTCCGCAGGCGCGCCGCCAGGTCTTCTGGCGGCCCGCGCGAAAGGAAATTGATGCTAATCTGCCTCTGCGTGGGATATCACTCCAGCAGCCCTCGGAAGTGCCGACGGTTTCGCAGATCGTAGCACCCCCCCAGGGGATGGTGAGGTCTAATCTGGGTCTGCGTAGGGCGTCACGTCCTCCCGGAGGCCCTCGGAAGTGGCATCAGGTTCGCAGATGTCAGCCCCCCATCGACGGTGAGTTCTAATCTTAGTCTTGGTAGGGCGTCACTCCGCGGCCCCCCAGCTGCCCTGCAGAAGTGGCGACGGTTTCGTAGATCGCAGCCCCTCCCAGGAGGGTGAGGTTTAATTCGAGTATGCGTAGGACGTCACTCCGCTGGACCCCCCAACAGCCCTCCTAAGTGGCGACAGTTTCGCAGATCGCAGCCCCCCAGGGAGGGTGAGTCCTATGATGAGTCTGCGTATTGCGCCACTCCACTGGGCCCCCCTGCAGCCCTCGAAAGTAGGACGGCTTGGCAGGTCGCAGCCCCCCCAGGGATGGCGAGGAGGCAGGGGTAGCAGGCGAGTAGGGGGGCAGGGTAGCAGACAGGTGGAAGGGGGGAGAGGAGAAGGGAGGTGGGAGGAGGAGGAGAAGGTCGCGACTGCAGCGCTACATTCAAGACGAGCACCTAACGCAGGAGGGTTGGGACCAATCCAACCTGCCCGACCTTGATTTGGACGGCGAGCTCTTTTCCTAGGGCCCCCCCTCTCCCCCAAGACATCCGCCGATGTGAGTTTTTTTCAATCCGCGGCCCCAAAGGTCCCGACCGACCCCTTCCCTGGGAGTAGCTTCGTCCCGGAGCAGTGTTTGATGGTCCCTGGGCCGGAAAGCCCAGACCCCCGACGTCGTGATTTTTTAACAACGTCGACCCCCATTTGGACGCCCGAAATGGGTACGGAAAAAAGGGGCACAGTGCCCAACAAGAAATGCTGTCACAGACCAACAGCGGCCGCTGTTGGGCAGGCGGCCTTCTGTCTCGAATGGACACAGGCCGCGGCATTGTACCCATTCTTTCCGTGCCCATTTTGTGTCTTCTTGCAAACCCCAGAGGTCTCCTGGACCCCTTCCCCGGGACTGGTTCTTCAGCCGGAGTCGTTCTGTGACGCTCCCGAGACTGGGGAAGGGCTCCCGGAGGCTGAAAATAGCGAAAAACCTCCCGTCGTGATTTTTTCATCCAGCGCGAGGATCGAGGTCTGGGAACGGGCCCCGGAGGCCGCCACTGCAGCCCCAAACCGCCGGATGGAATCTCCGGGCTGGCCTCGGCTACACGCAGGGGTGACCCTGGGCAGGAGCGACCTTTCCGGTTCGCGACTCCGGGAGGGGCGCGCGGGAGGGGGGGCCGAACCCGAGCGCGCAGGACGCGACTGCCGCATCGCGCTCAACTCTCGGGAGACCCCCGCGTGCCCGCACCAAACGTCACTCCGGCGAAGGGCCGCTCTCACGTGTAGCCGCTGGCCGCTGGCCCACGGAAGGGTCTCGTGTCCTCTCGCGTGTCCCGTCCAATCAAGGCCGACTGTATATGACGGGCCTGTTTTCCACCACCACCACCACCACCACCACCACCACCACCACTTGGAGGGGGAGGGGGTCCTCCTCCTCCTCCTTCTCTTCCTCCTCCTCCTCCTCCTCCTCCTCCTCCTCCTCTTCCCCCCCATCCAACTTATGGTGGTGGTGGTGGTGGTGGTGGGAAACAGGCCCAGCAGTATGTCTGTGCCCCTTGCCCTCCTTCCCCTCCACCTGCTGCGCGTGCGGGTGGCTCTCTGCCAGAGCGACCTCCGGTGCGCCGCCTTCGGGGCGGGCGCTGCGGGGCCGAGCCCGAGCCCGCAGGCCGCCGCCGTCGCACCGCGAGCCACGCCCGAGCACGCAGGCCCCACACCGCGCCCCCTCGCGGCCCCCCCCAAATCGGCTACACGCAGGTGTCGACCTCCTCCTCTTTCTCCTCCTCCCTCCTCCTCCTCCTCCTCCTCCTCCTCCTGCTCCTCCTCCTCCTCCTCCTCCTCCTCCCTCCTCCCTCCTCCTCCTCCTCCTCCCCCGCCTCCTCCTCCTCCTCCTCCTCCTCCTCCTCCTCCTCCTCCTCCTCCTCCTCCTCCTCCTCCTCCTCCTCCTCCTCCTCCTCCTCCTCCTCCTCCTCCTCCTCCCCCTGGGCAAGAGTGACCTCTGGTGCGCGGCTTGCCGGGGGCCGCGGGGGGGACCAAGCCTGGGCGCGCCGGCCGCGGCCCCTGCTCCGCTGTCGGCCACCTGGGGGCCCAGCTGTGTCCGCACCAGAGGCCCCTCCGGCGGAAGGTCAGCTCTCGGGTCGGGCGAAAGGGGGGGGATAGCAGAGGGGGGGGGGGTGAGAATCAGCTCACGTAGCTGATTTTCCCAGCGCCTCCCGGCGCCGGAGGCGGCTATGTATCGAGGAATGGGCCCCTCGGTGAGGCCGAAACCAGCTGCATGCAGCAAATTTCGTAACCCCCCATTTCCCAATCCCCCCCCTTTCGTCCGGCCGAAACTCTTACGCCTAGTCGACCCATGGCCTGGGAGCGCGGCCCCGAGGCTGGCGCCGCCGCCGCTGAGGCCCTGCACCGCGCGCAGGTCGGACACGGCCCGCGGGAAGCCTCGGGGCTCGGGCCGCGGAGGGGGGGGGGCTGCAGCGGAGGCCAGGCCACGAGTCGAGCAGGGACCGACCGCCCCGGCATTCCTGTACACGTCGGTCGGAAGCAGTAGGCAGAAACATGAGATAGGAGGGCGGATGTAGTAGCGTGGGCCCAGGTCCTCCCAGAGAACAACCAAGCACAGCAAAAGCATGCCGACTCCTGAAGTAGGAAGGCGCTTGAGGTAGATTGGGGTCTGGGAGTCCAGAAATACGTGCTTTCAACGACCAGCGTGTAGTCCTACCACGAAATGATCTCATAGCCCAAAAAAGGTTCCAAGAGCAAAGACAATGTTCTCACAACATAAGCCCGATGTGTTCAAACAAGACAGACTCTGCCAGAAGTGCTCTAAGAACATCTCGTGGGAACTGAGAACATTGTTTGGTAGGGCTATCGGCGAGCCGGGACGCTTCGCCACTGCTTGAACAAGAAACCTTCCACAAGAAGCCCAGCACTGAGACCCCAGGACGTCCATGGATGGCTGGTGCGGTCACGCTCTCCGTGGAAAAGACGTCGAAACCCAAGAAACCACGGGCACCCTGGAGGCAAGCAGGGTCTTTCTTGTCATGGGTCCCCACTGTAAAGGGCCCAGGGGCACAGAAATAGAGCGGGGGGGCCGAACGGTCATTCACTGTCCCTGGGCGCGTGGCTGAAGTGACCCAGATCCCCTCGGGTCATGACAAAAATCACGACGGAAGGTTTTTCGCTACTTTCGGCCTCCTGGGGCCCTTCCTGGACCTCGGGACAATCAAAAGATGAAAAACCGGCACCCCTTTCTGGGGGTCACGTCATGGAAAAATCTCGACGTCGGGATTCTGGAGAGGTTCCGCGGTGCGGGCTGTGGTTGTTGTCGTTGTGGTTGTGCTGTTTGTTGCTTGTTGTCAATTGTCGTCGTCCCAGCCCGCGACCCATCCCGCGACCCACCCACATTGCTTTAACGAGCAAATCGGCGCCTGCGGCGGGCTCACTGTATAATTTGTAGAACAGTTACTCGCCTGCGGCGGGCTTCTTCGGAGCCTCGCAAACTGCCAACGTCCACGCCGCACCCTCACTCTTATCCGCAAATTCGGGGGGCTATGCAAATGAGCACAAATTCCTGGATTCCCTCAACTTTTCCATATTTCCTGGATTGCCGTCGTCCCCTCCACCCCCCAGATCTTCTGACATGTTCCTGGGAATCGCCGATGAATTAAGTCTGTGTGGTTGCCTAAGGGGTTCTTACTTGGTTAAAGGTCGGTGCCCCCGATTGTTATTTTGCCCGCTCGGAGGTTCCTCGGGTTCCTCGCTCCTGGTGCCTCCTATTGTTACGTTGCCCGTTTCCCGGAGGTTCCCCGGGTTCCTCGGGTTCCCCGGGTTCGTCGGGTTCCCCAGGTTCCTCAGGTTCACCGCCCCCGGTTGCCCCAAGCAATGCCAAGCAATGCCAAGCAATGCCAGGCGATGCCAAGCGATGCCAAGCAATGCCAAGCAACGCCGCGCGATGCGCCCAACGATGCGCCCATGCAATAAGCTTCCCCCTAATTGGGGTCGCGTCGGGTTCATGTTTCCGTCGAGGAGCGAGAAACAGCGGCACCACCACCACCAAGGACCAGGCTAAGACGGAACAAGACGATGATAAACTTGGGCGAGGATGCATCGAAAATCTCTGAGATCCGGCGGCTCTGGAGTGGAGGATGTCTCGGGCGTCGCGACCCTCTCAGCGTGTTCTGGGACAATCGGAGCGCGTTCCCAAACGCTCCCGAACGTATTGACCCTCGCCCTAGTCCCGTCCGACAGGGACCACCAGCGGAAGAAGTCGGGGGGGTCTCTCTGGGGCCCCCTGTCCCCAGGCTCGGAGAGGTGTCGCGGAGCTCCTCGCTGGAGGTGGCCCCCTTGGTGGTGGTGGTGTCGCTTCTCGTTCCCCCGAGGGAAGGGGGTGGGGAAAGAGGGGGGGGGGGCAAGGTAAGGCGCCGACCCACGTCCAGAAGGACGGCCCCACGCGAGCACAAGCGGCGGTTGATCAGTGCGCCTCGCACCTTCGCTCGTCCAACCATCCCTCCTCTCAGTATGCATGCTGACGCGTACGCGTTGGCGTTTGGCTGGCCTCTACTGGAGTGTAGGTCTTTTCTCTGCCAGAGTGTACCGGCTCTTGCTCGTCGTCGTCGACGCCGTCGTCGTGTCCGCGGGCGCTCACGATCTTGGGGAGGGGGGGGGGGAACAAAGTGATGCCAAGCAGCAATTTGTGGGAAATCCTCGTGAGAACGATTAAAGACTATGAAGCCCGATTGCCGATGAAGGGTCGCTGAGCTGGACAAGGCCAGATTGAGCCCGGAATTCGGCTGGGCTAAGAAGGGTTCAGCTCGACAAGAGAAGAGCTATGCCGGATTAGGTCCGTTCCCGCCAAGTATATACTGATCAGCGCCGACGCTGACTCTAACCCTCAGGAATTCGAAAAGGCAAGCACGATAACATTATCTCAGGATAAGAGGTAGTAGTTCCAGGATGAGCCGGCAGCCATCTGTGCCTTGACCCAGGCCCAGCGTTTGAAAGGCGGGGAAACACATGTCTAGGCGTCTTGTGTTGGAAGCTCTCCGGTGGACCTCTGGATAAGAGCCTGCTTTTTACTCCGGCTAGTTGACTTGAATGGGCGGGGGGGGGGGCTTGAACCTAAAGTAAGCCGCAAACGGCTTGCACGTGCGAAAACCACGCAAGTCGAAAGGCACTTGCACGCCAGTGTTCGTCTGAAGAGGGTTGGTGGGGGGGGCGAACGCCATGGAAGCAAACGTATGTTTACTTGCACGGCGTTCCAATCCGGCAGCGCGACCGAACATTTGCAATGTTGTCTGCACGTTTAGCTTTCGTCGAGTAGAGACCATCGGGCGTTTGTGCGGAAATCCGCCGAATGGAAATCCATTCGGCGCCGAACGGGCTCTTTTCGGAAGGGCTGGGTTGCCCGAACCAAAAAAAACAGAATCTCACCCCCATCTCCGGCGTCGGAGCTGCCCGGAGCTGCCCGGAGTCGGGGAGCGGCGGCAGGGCGGAGGCTGCAGACGGAACCCACAGCTCTCCCCGGTCCGCGCGTCGTACAGCGCGCGAGGCGCGAAGACCTGCTCGCCCCCACGGGGGAGGGCAGCTCTCGAGGCCCTATAGGCCAAGACCGCGAGGGACAGCGCGCCGCGATGGCCGCGCACATGGGTGGGAGGCCCACGTGCGCTCAGGGCGGCCCAGAGGGGACAAACATTTTTGCTCGTCGGCGGCGGGGCGGGGCGATCCGCTTCGGCGCAGCAGCGCTGCAGGGGCACTACAGAGCGAGTTGGTCGCGCTCAGCAGTTTGCACGACTCGCATGGAGATGAGCGCGACCGCTCCGCGGCCACGGGGCAGTGCCCACGCCAGATCGCGCGCCATCGCGCCTCGAGAGCGCCACCTGGGCGAAGGTCCTGCCTTCGTGGTGGGCCTGGAGAGCACGTGCGACGAGGCAGCAGGTCACGCTCGAGAGGGGGAAGACGGGGAGCAGGGTCGGGCAGGGTCTGGTACGACGTGCGGGCGGCGCACCACTGGGCGGGACGACGGTGCAGCAGACACAACCTTTCTGATCTCTGCTGCGCCTATCGTACTGCTGAAGGCGCCTCTCACGCGGGAAACCCAACGGTGCCGATGCCCCCACTCCCCGGGCTTCTCCAGGGGCAGGAGGGCCCAGATTCGAATCGACAAGTCGGAGCGGCGATCGAAGTGCATCGGATCGGCGGCCATCGGCACGCGAGTCGGGAGAAGTCGAGTCGGCGGAAACCGGCAGGCCAGCGTGCCTCCCGTGAGACAGCGGGGGCCAGATCGGAATCCGAGGCCGCATCGAATCGGGATCGGAGGCCTCCGAACTCGGATCGAAGCGGATCGGAGGAGCCGCAACGAGCCTCGCAGGGGTGCGCTCGGACAGAGTCCGGAGGCGAATCCGGCGGCGGCGAGGGCCTCCCAGGAGGCAGGCCAACGGCCAGCATCCGGCACGGAGAGCGGCACGGGCCCCTTGTCTGAAGTCCGGCGTGTCCCCCTACAGGGGGAGGCTCCACAAATGCTCCAAAGTGGTCGAAAAATGCTCAAAACATAGTCCCCAGATCATGTGTTTGACCATTTTTGAAGATTCCCCCTGTGGAGGGGCAGGCCCGACTATTTTTGAAGATTCCCCCTGTGGAGGGGCAAGGACCGACTTACACCTTCTCCTGCCCCTGCGGACCGCAGTGGGAGGCACTCGCGCAACGGAGCCCGCCTCGACGGAGGGGGGGCCGCCCGAGCGGCGGAGGAGGCCCCCCGCGCTCCGAGGCCGAGGCGGGGATCCCACTGGAGGAGAAGATGACAGGGGCCTCGATCGATCCTCGATCCTCGACCGATCCTCGATCCTCGATCCTCGATCGATCCTCGGTCCTCGGTCCTCGGTCCTCGATCCTCGATCGATCCTCGAAGTGTCCCAGACGTTTTTTTCATCCGATGCTGGGGTTCGACTTTCATTCCTGTCTGTGCCTCTTCCCTCCGGAGAGAAAGCGACGGAAGAGGGCATGCGCCGAAAGCGCCTCCGTGCGCACGACTGCCGGCAGAGCCGTGGAACGACCTGTCACACGTCCGCTGTCAGCAGCGAGGGCGCACAAAGCGTGGGAGCAGAGTCAATACCCATCGGTCGGAAGAAGTAGGTGGAATAATGGAGTAGGAAGGCGTCGAAAATATATTGGGTGTCCGCCCGCCCCCTTAAGGAGGACGGAAAAGGTGACGCCACTCCATCATTGAAGTAGGAAGGCGCTTACAGCAGATCGGAATATGGGAATCTCAAAATACCTACTTTCAACGACCGATGGGTACACCCCTGCTTAAGAGTTTTACTCTGAGAAAGTTGGCATCACTCGAAGCGTGCTCACAAGCAGCAGTCCTGGTCGAGTGGGTCCAGGGAAGGTGCTGCTCTTCCTCACACGCCCTCTCATGGGAGGCACCACACGTGCCACAAAAAAGCTCTTGCCCCCAGGAGCCCACTGGGACACGCCTCCATGACCCTCACACTCCTGGAGGGCGCCTCGGGACTCCCCCCCCCCGTTCCCCCGTCGGCGAATAGGTTTAAGTCGGGCCTGTCCCCCTACAGGGGGATTTTCGACGAAAAATGCAAAATACCCCAGAAATAATCAACAAATAATCAACAAAAATAGTGTGGGAACTATGGTTTGAATATTTGCTGGCCTTTTTGGAGCATGTTTGGGGGTATGTTGATTTTTCGTCGACACTTCCCCTGTAGGGGGACACGCTCGACATAGGAATCGGTCGCTCGCTTGGACCTGCGAGCGCCCCGCGGAGAAGCGCCCTCACCCCGCAGGGCGGGCCCCTGCGGGGCACACGCCGCGCCCTCCAGGCGAGGCGGCGACGGCACGGCCACCTCCCAGGGCGGGCCCCCTTGCACGGCCTCTTGCCTCCCAGACTGAAGGGGCCCCAGGACCCACAAATAAATACACAAATAAACATATTTCCCATATTTTCACACATTTTCTGGGTCTTTGTCCTCCCCCCCACTTCCCATATTTTCCCATATATTCTTGGGAATCGACGATTCATTGTGTCTGTGTGTTTTTTCCCCTCCTGACAGACCCCCGAGGTCGTGACTTGCTTCCTCGCGTCGACCCCTGGAGGACTCGACCCATTCCCCAGGACCGGCTTCTCATCCCGGGGCCCTTCTTGACGGCCCCGAGGGCCGGCGAGGGCCCCCAGAGGCCGAAAATTTCAACAAAAAAAAACACCTTTTCGCCATGAGTTTTTCATGAATCACTCGAGGGGTGTCTGAGGAGGGCGGGTTCTCTTGCATGGATTCTTGCCTCCTGCTGGTGTCTTCCTCTTCCTAAGCCTCCCTCCTCTGCCCCGCGCCGCGCCGCAGCTGCAGGCCCGCGCTCATCTGTGGCGGCCCCCATTCCCGCCCCTCCTCCCCGGCCCGCAGACGACGACATACGACGACGCCGACGAGGCCGACGACGCCGACGACGCCGACGACGCCGTCGACGACGACAACGCCGACGACGCCGACGACGACGACGAGGACGACGAGGACGAGGACGGCGACGACCCCCCCGCGCCTCCAGCGCCAGGGCGGACGCGGCCCGCGCCGCCGCCCCTCCGCCGGGCGGCGAGCGCGGAGGGGATCCTGGCCACGGGGTCTTTTTTTCCGCGCGCGGGTGGGCGTTCCAACTTTTTCGCATAAGCCCGTTGCCTTTTTTAGACCCTCGGAGGAGAAAAGAATACTCATACCTCGACCCTGCTCTCGTTTTCCTTCTTTGGGCCTCATGGGAGGCTCTCGTCGCCACCGCTGGATTCGCCTCGAAATTCTGGTCAGAACGCACCCCGGGAGAGGTCCGGGGAGTAGGGGTATCGGTGCCTTCTGGGTTCCCCAGATTCGAACAAGCTTGCTTACATGGCGCTCGCCTCCCCCCCCTCCCCCTCGCACCTTTTCAAGACGAGCACTAACCGTGCAGGTGCCGTTCGACTCGTGTGATCTCCGCACGCGCACATCGTTTGCGGCTTGCTTCAGGTTCAGGCCCCGGAGTCTTGCAAATGCAACAAAAAAACGGAGTCTGGAGGAGGAGGAGGAGGAGGAGGAGGAGGAGGAGGAGGAGGAGAGGAGCGTTCTGAGGGCTCGGGGACATGTCAATTGCCGGAATCTAAAAAAAAACGGCTCTTGCAAATGTTTCGCGCCGGGCGTGTTCGCCTGGCTTCGCGCCCCCGGAACCGTACCCGGGCGTGGTCGCGTCTGTCCCGATGCCGCAGCTTGCCGCAACAGCTGACTCCAGTCCCGGCCCAGTCGCCAACGTCGGTCGCGGCCTGCTGATCTAATCTGACAGCTCAAGGCGGATGGGCGGGTGGGTCTTGGCGTCGCCTGCGTCTCGATCATCGGGGATTCGAGGATGGAGGGGCGCAGGAACTCTTCTCAATTTTGGCTCCCAGGGGAGGGCTCTCGTCACCACGGCTGGACTCCTCTGCAGCTTCTGGTCCACAAGCACCCGCGAAAACGCTTCCAGGCCTTTGACGCTGAAATGGAGGTATCGGCAACTTCCGCCAGGCGGAGGTGCAGTGGGACAGCGATCCAGGTGCGTGCCAGGGCTCGAGCTAAACGGTGATTTCTCGATTTCGTCGTGTTATCGCGTTGTCCTCCTCTCTCTGTCTTCGTCCTGCCCCTGCTGCGAAACTAGATCAAACGAAGACGGCCCACGACATCGCCAAAGCACCGTTCAGCTCGAGCCCTGGTGCGTGCTGGGGTGAAGGGTTTTGTCGTCGTCTTCTGTCTCTTTGTCTTCGTTCTGCCCCTGCTGCGAGACGAGATCAAAACGAAGACGGCCCACAACATCGCCAAACCACCGTTCAGTTCGGGCCCTGGTGCGTGCTGGGGTGTAGGGTTTTGTTGTCGTTGCCCTTCTCTCTGTCTTCGTTCTGCTCCTGCTGCGAGATCAAAACGAAGACGGCCCACGACATCGCCGAACCACCGTCCAGCTCCAGCCCTGGTGCGTGCTGGGGTGTAGTAGGGTTTTGTTGTCGTTGTCCTTCCCTCTGTCTTCGTTCTGCCCCTGCTGCGAGATCAAAGCGAAAACGGCCCACGACATCGCCAAAGCACCGTTCAGCTCCAGCCCTGGTGCGTGCTGGGGAGGAGTGTTTGTCGTTGTCCTTCCCTCTGTCTTCGTTCTGCCGCTGCTGCGAGATCAACACGAAGACGGCCCACGACATCGCCAAACCCCTGGTGCGTGCCGGGGGTGCAGGGCCGGCAGATTGTTGGCGGGCGGGCGGCATAGGGGTCAGGAGCGAGGGGCACCGGCGAAAGCAGCCTGCATGGCGTCTCCTGGCTGCCGCCTCCGTTGTTTGCCGCCAGGTGTGCTTGGCGTGGCAGACGCCTCGGGGGCTTGGCTGCCCCGATGCGCAACACGTGTCACGCAGCGCACTGATGCGGAGCTCAGCGAGTAGACCGAGAGCGCAGGTCTGACGCGACCTGACGCGACGCGTTCGCCAAAGCGGGCCAGTACGCTGAGCCAGCACGCAGCGTCTTGACACGACGTTTTGAGCACGGTACGTGTTGCGTTTCAGAGCGGGCGTGTCAGGGCAACCAGGCCTGGTGGACGTGAGCTCCGCTCGGCATTCCGCGACACGGGCGTGGCAGGTGGCGGCGGCGGTGACTCGCCGTGGGCGTCGTCGGCGCACCGCGCGCGAGTCCTGACCGGGCCGATCCTGGGCCCAGGATCAGTGCGCATGCCCAGGCCCCCGACGTCGTGACTTTTTCCATGGTGTGGCCCCCAGAAGTCTGGACCCCTTCCCGGGGACTTGTTTTGGGGGGACCCCTTCTGGGGGACTGGTTTCTCATCCCGGACCGCTTTCTGACGGTCCCGGAGGTCTGGCGGGGGCCCTCAAAAGCCGAGAACGGTGAAAATCCTCCCGTGGTGATTTCGGTTCACGGCTCGAGGGGGTCTGGCTACCCCGCAGCTGGCGGAGGATGGCACGCGCACCGATCCTGGGTCCAGAGCCTGGCCTGGCGTTGGCCCATGTGTGGGGGGGGGCTGGGGCACCGCTGGTAACAGGTCGGCGCCCCAGTGAGGCCTGTTACGGTGCCTCAAAAAGCAAGACCCAAACATTTTCTCGTCGCGGCGCAGCACAAGCGATCCGCTCGCGCACCCTGGTAGCGGACGCGCGGCGCACTCGTGAACCAGCAGCATGAGGAGATGGAAGACAATGACGGACGCA